GGGTCGCCCTCGAACGGGATCTGGACGTTGAAGACGTGCTGGTTGGCCACCTTGGAGGAGCGCGTGGTGAGAGCCTGGCGGGGATCTGACGAGCTCAGCGCGGCATGGGCCAGTCTGAAGAAGTTGTCAGTATGAATGTCTTCTTCTTATCTTCTTGTTTCGTGATTTATATATTTGCTTGACAGAGACGGTCTGTCAAGTCGACTCAACTCACCTGTTCTTGGGATCCCTCATCAAACTGTCGATCCAAAGCTCAAGCGACGAGACGGGCAGGCCCTCGGGCTCCCGCCTGGCCTGTCCATGAACCTCCGTCTCCTCAGCCTCCGTCTTCTCCCCATCGCCACCAACTTGAACTTTGGCGCTTAGGGCCTCTCCCTCCTCCAACCTGAAGCTTCTCAGACGCTCCAGTATGAGCTTCTCGCTCTCCGCGGCAGTGATTGGTCTAGACGGCTGGCCACCCATAGTGATGTCCGTCCTGAACGCCTCTGAACCTTGGGTAACAGATATAAAGCCCTACTACTACATACGTCCTCTCGCCAAGAGCGATTCAAACAGGAAGATAGAGTCCTATATCAGGATATACACGCTCACAGCTGCCAACCCTGACGGATATGCCAAGGCAAATAATCAACTCACTTATCGGGGTCAATCGTTGGAGCACATCAAGGTGCTCATGTTTGTTTGTTTGCTATCTATCGCACCGAACATGGATCGTCTGCTGGCCCCCCTCAGCTTATCCGGCCTTTCATTCCCCCTCATTCCCCTCCCTCACCCTCCTCAACGTTCGAATCGCGGGCCATCATTCGTCGGCTATATCCAATTTCCCACCGGTTCTTTTGTCGCGCTACCTGTTTCCAGCAATTCCTATCAGCTTTCGTTCCTTGTGCTTATCAAGCTTGTGTATACTACCTTGATGAGCTCTCAGGGCAATTGCTGCGTGTCGTGTTAGCACAGTGTCCGCTCTTCGAGTTTGAATCGATGCTTCATGCATCAACTTCAGTCTTTTGTTACCTACAGATGGCGACAGCGGCATGCGAGTGGGGTTGAGCAGAGAAAAGAGGGCCGTCAACTCTCACATGTCGGACATCGTGCTGCCACCTGTGGGGATGCCCCATGTATCCCATGACCGGTGCGCTGGCGACGGGTACCTTGATGTCAACATGGAGAGAGCCTGACATGTCGACGCGTCAAGGCGACGTGTACCGCATGTGATCT